AGAATTACAGGATCCAGCAATTCCACTACTGGATTTATACTCAAAGGAATGGAAAATAAGGTCTCAGAGAGGTATCTGTGCACCCATGTTCACAGTGGCATATTCACAATAGCCAAAACGTAGAAACAACCTAATTGTCCATCAACAGATGAATAAACAAAATGTTACATATGCATATAAAGGAATATCATTCAGCCTTAAAAAGCAAAGAAATTCTGACACATGCTACGACATAACATAAACCTTGGAGACATCACGCTACATGAAGTAAGCCAGAGTCAAAAAGACACACTGTATGATTCTAATTATTTGAGGTACCTAAGGTAGTCAAATTCATAGAGACAGAAAGTAGCATTGTGGTTGCCAGAAGCTGGAGGGAGAAGGGATCAGGAAGTTGGTGTTAAAGAGTACAGTTTTTCAGTTTTATCAGATGAAAAGAGAGTATGGAGATTGTTCGCATAACAATGTAGATGTATTTAACCTACTGAACTGTACACCTAAACATCGCTAAAAAGCAAATTTTATGTCATGTGTATTTTACCACAATTTTTAAAAACAGAATGAGCAAATCTATTCAAGTGATGTATTTTCTCAAGATTTTTACCCTGTTTCAGACAGTCTAAAAAGTAACAATTTGCATAGAACAATCACATACTTTCCAACACCCCATTGTCCTCTCTTCTAAACTTGTTTCTCCCAGGCACCACCTGGATATATGATAAGCAAATGTTATCTAAAATCAAGGTTGTGTGCAGGAAAGGAAGAGAAATAGACAGGGGGATTTGATGTATCTGGAATTAGAAGAAAGGAGGTTTTCCCAATCCCAGAAAGGACCAATGTTCTTAAGCTCCAGGTGCACAATTTTAGTGCAGACTTGCACCTTATGACAGAACAGGGGATGTAAGCAGGTCTGCTGAGGTGTGCGCCCCAGGCTGCCTAGATCCTGACTTCTTGCCCCCAGCCTCACCAGGCACCCCCTGGCAGATGCACTGACACCACAGCTGACAGCAGCACTTTTGATGCCAGTCATCCAGGCTGGCAGCAACTGCATATTTATTTATTTATTTTTTGATATGGGGTTTCACTCTGTCACCCAGGTTGGAGTGCAGTGGTGCAATCTCAGCTCACTGCAACCTCCACCTCCCAGGCTCAAGCGATCCTCCCACCTCAGCCTCCTGAGTAGATGGAAACACAGGTGCAACACCATGACGCTCAACTAATTTTCTTTGTATTTCTGGTAGAGTCAAGGTTTCACCATGTTGTTCAGGCTGGTCTCGAACTTCTGAGCTCAGGCGATCTACCTGCCTCGGCTTCCCGAAGTGCCAGGATTACATGAGTCACTGTGCCTTGCCAACAACTGCATCTTTAAAAACAGTGTTATTGAGAAATAATTCACTCAAGCAGTTGGATTTGAATGTACTTGATTCACTGTACTTATCTCTCAGGTGCAAACAGCATGCAATTTGATGCTTTATCCTGGCTTTGCAGCTGAATAGGAGAGGTTGGAACAAAATTCCAAGCTATCACTTTATATGCAGGGCTACTGATTTAGGGTGAACCAGTACATCCTGGTTAACCTCCCTCTACATTTCTTTTCATGACAGACATGTTAATTACTTTGCCAGCAAATATCCATAGGAAAGTCTAATTGGATTATTTATAGTTCTATTTTATGATTAAAATTGGGGAAAAGGCATCAAAATATAGCTTCCAATAACTAGAATCAAATACAAAAAAGTGATGATAATAAAAATAGGGCACATGGAGTCAGATTCTGGGAAACATCCTAGGTGCATAATCTCATTCTTCCTTTGAACAACTGATAAGATAGGAGTTTGTCCATTTCACTGATGTGGAAACTGAGGCTAGGGAAGTCAAATTAAGTTAGAAACAGTATAGCAAATAATTGAGTCCAGGGTTCCCAGATGCCAGGGCAGCCTGCCTCTTTCACTGCCTTGAATGACCTTGAGTAAGTTGCTTATCTGATTCTGTGATCTCAATGATCACAGAAATGCCTGTCTCATTCGCAGTGCTACAGCAATGAGTATGTAAGAATGTCAATGCAAATGCACTTAGAGCAGGGCCCGTAGAGCCTGTGCACTCTTTTGTCCCTTCCTCCTGTCTTCTCCTCCTTCTCCCCACGCAAAGTCACAGTAAGTACTCAGATGGACTAAGAGCACAATTAACTGTGATTGTGATCCTGGTTTTCCTGCCAATACTCTCAGTGAACAGACGGGGAAGCCGGGAAGAGAAGGCAGAAGTCCCTTGTTCTTGATGTGAGCCAGTGGGGTTGGAACAGACATGTTCAAAGAGCGAGGGAGGAGGACAGAAAGGACTGAAGCTTTATAGAGAAGTGGCGGCTTCTAAGAGGGAAGAGAATTCGCAGATTGTGCTGAAACCATTTGGAGAAAGTTCTTTTTACACAATCTTAAAGAAACTTCCCACAGAGTATTGATTTATTACAAAAGGGAGTAAAAAGTTGCCATGGAGAAACTAAATTTAAATGATCCATTTAAACTTTTGGATCACTTTAAATAAAAGTGATGGTGGATCACTGTAGACAAAATCAAATAGAACATCATTAAGAATAGGACCAGCTAATACTATGCCTCCTGACAGGTGCACTGAGAACACAGCACTGCTTAGGTGCTTAGACACTCTTCACAAAACTCAGCAAGTAACATCTGCACTTAGTCTCAGGTGGTCAACGACAATAATAACATCTATGTATGTGTACGTAAATAAAAGAATAAGAAAATTAGGACAATATTAACAACTGGTGAATCTACGTGAAGGGTATACAATATTCATTATACTATTCCTGCTCCATTCTGTAGATTTGGAAAAAAAAAAAAAAATAAACATCATCGGAGGAAAAAAGAAGCCAAGTCATTTTTTTAATGAGCAGATAACAGTTTTGTGGTTCTTCAAAAAGTTCAACAGAGGCTTACCACACGCCCCAGCAATTGAACTCCTAGGTTTATACACTAGAGAAATGAAAATGTGTCCACACAATAATTTGTATGTGAACATTTATATAGCATTATTCATAATAGTCAAAAGGTAAAAACAACTGAAAGGTCCACTAATGGATAAGTAGATAAACAAACTCTGGTATAGTCATGCAATGGAATATTACTCAGCCATAAAACAAGAAAATTCTAATACGTTCTACAACATGGATGACCTTGAAAACATTATGCTAGGTGAAATACGCTAGATACAAAAGGACAAATAAATGATTCTGCTTATACGAGGTACCTAGAGTAGTTAAATTCATAGAGACAGAAACAATGGTGGCTGCCAGGGGCTGAGTGGTGGGAGAAATGAAGAGTGATTGTTTATTGGGTACATTGTTTCCTTTTGGGATGATGAAAACATTTTGAAAGTAGATAGAGGTGGTGGCTGCACAATATTGTGAATGTACTAAATGTCACTGAATTGTTCGTTTTAAATGATTAATTATGTCATGTGAATTTCATGTTAATTAAAAAAAGAGCACATAGAGAAATGAGGAGGAAGATGTTCCAACTTAGACAATAGAGTGTGCCTGGGAAGAGACAACATTCAGGGTGAGCACTCACACCCATGAATCTGCTGAGTGGAACAGAAACGGAGGACCTGATTTGTACTACCAACCAGTTCTGACACGTGCCAATCCAAACGGAGCATGTGAAATCATGTAATTACAGTTTACCTGAATTCTGCAAATATGTGCAGAAAGACTTACAGTGCAGTAAGAATTAATGATAGGCTGGCTCAGTATGTGCCGTGTTTAAAAGACACTTCGGCTCAAGAGGGGCCAACAGGAGAAAGTGAGCAAGGCTGTGATCCCAGGGGCCAAGACTGCAGAGGGAAAACCTGGATGCAGAGGTGACATGCCCACGTGGCTGCAGCTTCTGCTCTGCCGGGGCTGGAGAGTGGTTAAAAGCCATCTGCCCCTTTCATTTAGAAATCACATTTGCTTTCACTCAACAAAGCTGACACAGAAAAAGTGACCCAGTCAGATGTGTGTGACCTAACATGTTACCCTTTCCAGAAATAACCACACATTCCATTAGAACCATTAAAAGAATGTTATGCTTTAGCATTTTTGTTCTAAAAACCTCTTATCACTAAAGAAATTCGCATTCACTATGAAAACATTTATTTATTTATTTATTTATTTATTTATTTAGAGGCAGGGTCTCACTGTGTCACCCAGGCTGGAGTACAGGAGTGCCATCTCAGTCCACTACAGCCTCGACCTCCTTGGCTCAAGTGATCCTCCCACCTCAGCCTCCCAAGTAGCTGGAACTACAGGCACACACCATGGCACCTGGCTAATTTCTTTATTTGTAGAGATGGGGTCTCCCTATGTTGCTCAGGCTGTTCTTGGCCTCCTAGGATCAAGCAATCTTCCTGCCTCGGCCTCCCAAAGTGCTGGGATTACAGGCATGAGCCGCTGTTCTCAGCCCACTATAAAACTTTTTTAAAAGTAGGTAGATGAAAAGAATCCCCTGGAAAAAGCCACTGCTATAATCTTGCTGCACTTCTTGCCAGCCTGAGAAGGCAATACTTAATGGTAAGAAATGATTTATTCAGGATGTGACTTTGAGAACCTCAGAAACTTTCTTGGTGACCCTCAAATTATAATACATTGAGGCTTTCTATTAAGCCAATGGGTCCCAGCCCTAAGATAACCTTTCCCAGAGATGGAAGCAAATTTCTTGCGCTTGAACTGTGCATCCAGAGAATCTGGCGATGAGGGAATCATGAAGAAATGGGCAGATGATCAAGATAAATACCCATTACTCCCCTCCTTACAAACATTAAAAGAATTACTAAGTCGCAAGAAAGAGCAAGAGCTGAAGTAAATAGATTTTGCAGGCCAGTTCTCAACCCCGACGGACACAGGAAAACAAAATAAACGATGCCTCTGACATAATTTAGTGTCTGGCTCAGAAGCTGATCGAAATTGGCTTGAGCCTTTACTTCTTCTATCACGATCTCTAGAAGGACATAGTCCCCCGAGCCACGCACTTACCCATCCAGACTTCCCCAAACTGCCCAGCGCCGAGCCTTTTCACCAACTTGATGGACTCCCGGGGGATCTCCCAGGCATCTTTATCCCATGGCTTCTGTGGCTTGGGACTAATACAAGCCTTCTCCAATCTTCTGCACAAGCCATCTGGCTGCTCTAATTTGAAAGGGAAAAATTAAGGTTAAGAAATGCTATACTTTGGACTTCACCTATGTCTATAAAGAAGAGTTTCAACTAGGAGCCTTATAATGTCCAATCTGCCACAGTCTGTGAACTAAAATGCACCCTTCACATAATTGTGACTTTTTACATTTGTGGGGTTTTTTGTTTATTTTTCTTTTTTTTGAGATGAAGTTTCACTCTTGTTGCCAAGGCCGGAGTGCAATGGGCGATCTCAGCTCACTGCAACCTCCGCCTCCCGGTTTCAAGCAATTCTTCTGCCTCAGCCTCCCAAGTAGCTGGGATTACAGGAGCCTGCCACTATGCCCAGCTAATTTTTATATTTTTTAGTAGAGACAGAGTTTCACTACGTTGGCCAGGCTGGTCACGAACTCCTGACCTCAAGTGATCCATCTGCCTCGGCCTCCCAAAGTGCTGGGATTATAGGCGTGAGCCACCAGCCTGAAATCTGTATAAGAAAAACCATTGAAAACATACTTGATTGTATTCATCAGCGCTGCTAACATACATGAACAAAAATAACAAAGCCAACAGACAACCACAGGCTGACAGGTTGTCACACTTAATAAAATGTGATTTCAGATTATTGAGCCTACATTAAGCTTCACGGGGTACCATAGTGGGGAGTCGGTCATGTCACCACTGGACCCTAGGCCCCAGAACAGAGCCAGAGCACCACAAGCTCTCAGCACGTGCAGGATGCATACAGGAATGGGAGGGCGGAGGGAGGCAGGAATCTACAAAATTGGAAGCACGTTGCTCTCTCCATGTTTTGGGACTCAAGCAAACCTATAATATGCATTCCCTTCGAGCAGGTCATAGAAAGGAGCTGGGGCAACAACCACTCAACTGACTCCAGTCACACAGCAAAGGGACCCAGAGTTTCAGGCCCAGGCTTTGCAGGGCTGCAAAGTGGCACTGGAGACAGGGACATTGACCTGCTACTTCTAAATATTTCAGTGGTAGTGTTATTTCTGTTTGACTTTACCAAGAATATATATTACTTTTACACACACACACACACACGCAAACACAGATCTGCAAATCTGCATTCCTATTCCAGATATTCAGATGTGTTGTAAAAATATATGCAAAGATAACATATATTTTTCTCTTAGTAATTTTGTAACACTGAATGTCAAACAGCATGTACTACTAGGTGGGAAGGACTGGGAGGATCACAAGGATCAAATCTTACTCTGTGTATTTAACTACAGATGAATTAATTACTTTTATTTTATTATTTGTTTTTTGAAACAGGGTCTTGCTCTGTCACCTAGGCTGGAGTGCAGTGGGGTGATTTCAGCTCACTGCAATCTCTGCCTCCTGTGTTTAAGTGATTCTCCTGCCTCAGCCTCCCGAGTAGCTGAGACTACAGGCACATACCACTATGCCTGGCTAATTTTTTTTTTTTCTGGTAGAGATGGGATATCACCATGTTGGCCAGGCTGGTCTTGAACTCCTGACCTCAAGTGATGCACCTGCCTTGGCCTCCCAAAGTGCTGGGATTACAGGCGTGAGCCACTGTGCCTGTCCTAACTATAGATCAATTTAGAATCATTTATAGAATATGACCTGCAATTGTATCTAAGAGAAATATGATGCCTAAAAGTTTTAATATAAAAATAGTGTGTGATGTCTTACACATATCATAACAAATATATTTTGTCTTGTTGAACGTTCAGTTTTTACTTACTTTGGTAATGTTTAATCATGTCACTGATACAGGGAAAAGTGATTCGTGGAGAGATGTAATAGCCCCCATTATCCAGACTTCTAATTTTGTAGTGCTTAATAACATCCCCATGCACAGGGTCAAAGTCTCTGACAGACAGAGAGAAGCTTCCTATGGGGGGGAAAGGTATAAGTAAATATTTATATCTCACAAATAAGATTTGCATTATACAACAACTGCAGTACACATTTTGTGATTAAAAATATGCAATATATATATATATGAAGTTTGTATAAAATGCACAATTTTAAAAGTCCTAGAAAAATTCTACTTGACAAATGAAGCCACGTTTTGTTTGCTGTGCAGCTTGCCAACATACCATTTTCTTTCTCCATGATAATTTTTAAAAATTATTATTTAGCTACATTAAAAAATTTTAAAGTTATTTTGATTTTCTTTTTCTTTTTTTTTTGTTTCACAGGTTCTTACTCTGTCACCCAGGCTGGAGTACAGCGGCACAATCATAGCTAACTGCCGCCTTGACCTCCTGGGTTCAAATGATCTTTCTACCCCAACCTCTGAAGTAGCTGAGACTACAATCATGCACCACCACACCTGGCTAATTTTTAAATTTCTTATAGAGACAGGCTCTTGCTATGTTGCCCAGGCTGGTATCAAACTGCTGGGTTCAAGTGATTCTCATGTCTCAGCCTCCTAAAGCATTGGGATTACAGGCCTGAGCCACCATGCCCAGCCTAATTTTCTTTGTCTTAAAATTTCAGGATTTATTCTAAATAATAATGCAAAAGGCTCAGCAAACAAAACATGCTAAGAACTGGCCACAATCATGTGTGCTTTCTACCGTACTTTTTTCTTTTCTTTTTTTTTGAGACAGTGCCTCACTCTGTCACTCAGGCTAGCTAGGAGTGCAGTGGCATGATTACAGCTCACTGCAGCCTACCTTCCTTGGGTTCAGGTGATCTTCCTACCTCAGCCTCCAGAGTAGCTGGGACTATAGGCATGCACTGCCAGGCCTGACTAGTTTTTTATTTCTTGTAGAGATGGGGTCTTGCTATGTTGCCCAGGCTGGTCTCCAACTACTGGACTCAAGTGATCCTCTTGCCTCGGCCTCCCAAAATGTTAGGATTACAGGTGTGAGCCACCACACTCAAGTATATTACTTTTGGTAGCACAACTAACTATTGGAGTTTGTTATTTTTTATCAAACTATAAAACTTTTACTACCAGAGCATACTATATCCTTTTTTTCCCTTGAGTAATTCTAGAATAGTTTCTAAAAATAATTTCCTAAATAGTGTTTTAAAAGAGGCCTTGAACCATTTCCTACCTTTTAACGTTTCACTTTCTCTAATAAGGAAAGCGCCAGCACTATTTCCTGGTGCCAAAAGCTGCCTCTCTGCATCCTTCCTGGTTATATCCTTGAAAAACCACCTGTGAAGACATTTCAACATTTCATGCGTATTATGTTCCAGAGCAAGAAAAAGGTGAAGAATATTAACAAGAAATCCAATGTGGCAAACAAAGCCACCAAGATGACAACACATGAGGACTCACTCTTCTGTTTCTAAGGTGTTGAGTTTGGCCACATAGTTGCTGGGGATGAAGCCTTCTTTTTTTGTTAAAAGGGACTTTGCTTTCCACCATTCTCCATGCCTAGAATAGAAATACGCATCAAAAAGAAGCTAGAAGATTACATATTCCATGCATGTATCAAAATATCACAGATATCCCATAAATATGTATTTATGTACAGATACTACGTATCAATTAAAAAATTAAAAATAAAGAAAACATGGAGTTACCACAGGACCCAGCAATTACACTCCTTGACCTATACCCAAGAAAGATGACACCATAACATCCACACAAAAACCTGTACATGAATGTTCAAAGCATCATTATTTGTAAAAGCAAAAAGTAGGAACAACCAAAATGCCTATCAACTGATGAATGGACAAAATCTGGAATATCCGTCCAGTGGAATATTACTCAGCAGTGAAAGGAACGGAGTGCTGAGAGATGCTACAACAGGGACGAACTTTGAAAACATTATGCTAAATAAAAGAAGGCAGCCACAAAGGACCACATATTATATGATTCCATGTGTGTGAAATATCCAGAATAGGTCAGTCTTCAGAGATAGAAAGTAGATTTGTAGTTTCCTAGGGCTGGAGAGAATGGGAGAGTAGAAGTGACAGCTAAGGAGTCCAGGGTTTCCTTTTGGGGTATTTAAAATGTTCTACAACGGATTGTGGTGATGGTTGTACAATTCTGTGACTACACTAAAAAAATCACTGAATTGTACACTTTAAATGGGTGAATTGTGTGGTATTGTGAATTCTCAATAAAGCTATCAAAAAGAGAGAGAGAGAAAGAAAAGAAGCCGGGAGTGAGGGTTTTGAATGTTCACAACACAAAGAAATAATAAATGTTCAAGGTGATGGATACGCTAATTATGCTGATTTGATCCGTACACACTGCATACATGTATCAAAATATCACTCTGTATCCCATGGCTGCATATAATTATTCCATGTCAACTAAAAATAAAAGGAAAAAAGTGTTTATATCCAAGACTCAACAGCTATAATAGCAATTGTCTCAAGATGTTTGTTTAGGAGGGTGAAGGTGGGTGGAGAACATCTCTGGAACCCCAGAATCCAGTGGGAAAATTCACTCTTCGTGATGGAATTAAAATATGTTTAGAGACAGAAGCAAAGAAAAACAGACTTACAACTAAAGCATGCGCCACTGGGATCAGGGGTGCACAAAGAAGAGTTGGTACAAATGGCTCCCATCTCACAGAAGCAAAAGGTTTGTAACTTGCCCCAGGATAGCTAAGAAATGCTTTCAAAGCCTTATAGAAATGACAGTCAAGGGAATACTGGTCCATAGTTCATGCATTATAAACTCCTTTGTTCAAACATCTAGTTATCATAGAGATGGACACCATGAAAAAAAGAAAACCGTAAGACAATTCCAAGCAAGTGAGCCTCATCACCATGCTTGAGTCCTCAGCAGAAAGGTAGGCATGGAGCCAGGGAGGAGGAAGGGACCAGCACTGGAAGAAGCAAGCAGGTAAGCCGGTAATGGGGGAAGGAATGGGTCCCTTTGAGCCTTAACTGCACTCCTCTATAAATTCCACACACAGACAGGATCCTTGTCTGTACGCCATGAAGACAACTAGAACTAATACTAAGCTCTGCCTCCTCTTTGCTTATGTTTATACACATGCATCATGCTCACATCAACCCCATGATCTAGGTACTGTCATTCCCATTTTATAAGTAAAGAAACCAAGGTACAAAAGTTTAACGGTCTTGTTAAGGTCATACAGCTATCAAGTGGCAGGGCCAAGATCAGGCTTAAGTTCATGTTCAACCCATAAGCAACACTGCTGTCAACCACGGAACACCTTGTCCTTAAAAAGGGGGTCTCCCCCTCAAACCCTATTTGGCAGGTCATAACGACATTTAATGCAAGATTAGTAAGAAAAACAAGCTAGAATTAAAGCAACTGGAGTTTCTTATTCTGAGCACTGTCCTGCATGCCTATGGTCTGACACTGCCACATGTCTGAGTCAGCAAGAGGGGGTCGAGGAGATGATGACACTCAGGCATACTCACAAAAGCATGGTGGCTGCTGAGTCGAGAATTTTCCAACACGGCTACTGTAGCTCAGCACCCTTAGAACTCAAACTAGGCTGGGCCCATGAACCCAGTCTAAACATGAGTAATATAACAAAAGAAAAGTGCCATTTCAAATATCATGCATGGGCCACACAGACCCAAATTTCTTAAGGTGGCAAAAGTGGATAAAGAAAGAAACCAGGCTAGGTGTGTTGGCTCCCACCTGTAATCCCAGCACTTTGGGAGGCCAAGGCAGGAGAATTGCTTGACAGCAGGAGTTCAAGACCAGCCGGGGCAACATATCAAGATCCCATCTCTACAAAAATTTTAAAAATTAGCCAGGCATGGTGGCACATGCCTGTAGTCCTAGCTTCTCAGGAGGCTAAGGTGAGAGGATTGCTTGAGCCTAGGAGTTCAAGGCTGCAGTGAGCTATGATCATGCCACTGCATTCTAGTCTGGATGACAGAGAGAGATCCCATCTAAAAAAAAATTGTTTTAAAGAAAAACCAGCATCTGTCTTCAAAGGGAAACCCCCTGCAGAGCGCTCACAGACGGACTTAAAAGGAAAATCCCTTTGGCTGTATTCCTTCCACTGCCCACTCCCTGTGGATAGCAAGGAGGCCTCATGCCCATTACAGGAAGGGAGCTAGGCTATGGCTGTAGCACCAGAAGCAAGACAAAGGGACAGCCTGCAGGGCTCAGTGGCCTGAGGAAAGGAGCAGCCGTGGCATGCTTGAGAGCACTTACTCCTCCAGGACTTTCATCTTCTCTCCTTTCTTGAAAGACAAGTCGTCCGGGTGGATGCCATCATACGGGTACAAGGCTACCACAATGTCTCCTTGTTCCTCTGGATCTAAAAATGAACACAAGAGAACATCTGTAGGAATCCATCAGCAGAAGCATTTTAACAAACCTCATGGGGTGCAAAGGATGAGAGGAAGCACTAAGAGAGGGGCGACTGGAAGAAGGACGTGTGCTTTCTGCCTAGTGGGCTCAGGGTCTGCACGCCCACAGAGAGTAGCTTGCTGTATACACTGTGTCCAGTATTCATTATTGCAAATCACTTAAAACTAAAACTATAATATAACTCTATATTTAAGAAATGATACACCCATGTTCACAGCAGGATTATTTCAAATAGCCAAAATGTGGAAATAATGCAAACGTCCGTTGATGGAGGAATGGACAAACATCATGGGGCATTTTTTTTTTTTTTTTGGAGACGGACTCTCAGTCTTGTCACCCAAGCTGGAGTGCAATGGTGCAATCTCAGTTCACTGCAACCTCCACCTCCCGGGTTCAAGTGATTCTCCTGCCTCAGCCTCCTCAGTAGCTGGGATTACAGGTGCTCACTACCACACCCGGCTAATTTTTTGTGTTTTTAGTAGAGATAGGGTTTCACCATGTTGACCAGGCTGGTCTCAAACTCCTGACCACAGGTGATCCACCTGCCTTGGACTCCCAAAGTGCTGGGATTACAGGTGTGAGCCACCGCGCCTGGCCAGGGCATATACTTACAAGGAAATATTCACCCTTAGAAGGAAATAAACTCTAACACTTTCTACAGCATGGATGAACCTTGAGGATATCACACTAAGTGAAATAATCCAAACACAAAAGGTCAATTACTGTATGATTCCACTTCTAGGAGGTACCTAGAGTAGTGAAATTCATAAAGACACAAAGAGCGGAGGTTGCCAGTGGCTGGGGGAGGAGGCAATGGGGACTTATTGTTTAATGGGTATGCAGTTTCAGTTTGAGAAGATACATTCTGGAGATGGAGGGTGGTACTGGTTGTACAACAATGTGAATGTACAAAATGCCGCAGAAGTGTATACTTAAAAATAGTTCTGAGGGTAAATTTTTATGTTATATACGTCCCACCATAAAAAAATAAAACATTTAGGACAATCACTTTATAGAAGCTCTAATAGTAAAGAAAAAAAAATTTAACTATGTTGCTAGGAAACCATACCTTTAGCTTGAAACCTCTGTCCAGGTAAAAGCTGAGATTCTGGAACCTATGAGAGAATATTTGTTAGGAAAAAAAAAAACACTGGTTAGTTTTTCTTACTCACATTCATGTTGCATATACGATTTTTGTAACAGTAGCAGATGCTGTTAGGATGGGCTCATTTATTAAGTTAGAAAGAACAGGAGCACAGAGGGAAAAACCTGTCGAGGTGCATCCTGCCCTGCTCAGCCAGTGACAGGGCCCTTTACCACTTGCTGTGGGTGGCAGGAAGGGAGCAAGGTTCTGGGCAAGGGCTGCTAGGTGCTCACCTCATCCTAGCTCCTCCTCTTATTTGGTGACAGAACCCTAATATTATCTGGGGTGGCAGATTGCCCAGCTCAATGAGTGTGCTTCCAAACTCTCTAGCCCTGGGCAGAGGGTGGAGGGAGTTTTGGTCTGCAGATCAGTTGGGCAGGGCTTCGCTGTCAGCTCCCCTTTTCCCTTGCCTCTTTCTCTCCCCCTAGAAACAAGTGAAGGCTGGAGTCTTCACATAGAAACCAAATAATCAGCGGCAGGAGGATGGAGACGGAAGTGGCGGGACCCTGGTGACTTGGTGGAGTTGCCGTCTCGGCCCGGGACTGCCCATCCAAGGCTTCCCCAGCTGTATAAAATTGCATGATCAGGTCTCTGTCCCTGGCGGCTGAGAGCAAGTCCCATCCCATCCAGGCTTTCTTGGGCTGACCCTGACTCCATCGCAGGGACAGATGGCATCCCCTGTTATTTCAGTGGGGAGGTGAGTTATTGGAAAGGATTTGGTGGCACAAAAGTCCACCTCAATTACCTTTAAAATCAAATTCCTTTTTCTCACAGTGCCGCGTGAGGCTCTGTGAGGCCTCTGGGCCTCTTGCAAGATAGATGCTGTTAGAGGCCTATACCACAAGCCATGTAACTTTTCTGTTTCTCTTTGATTAAAGTGGCTTCATAGAATGGGACCAAAACAGTTTGTACTGAAATTTAAATTTCTGATGAAAGCCCATAAAATCTCCAGTTCAGTGAGGCAGGGAAAATTACTACATTGTGGTACCAGAAAAACCCATGGCTGCATACTGTCCTTCAAATGTTTATGTCAGGAAGTTTTATGTTGATTTTTTAGTCATTCAGATTTGCATAATTTGGATATATGATCTATTTTATGTGATTTAGAGGAAATAACTAGAAAACCAGAAACTAATTACATCATTTTAAAAGCAGCAAGCTGATTTTTCAAATCTCAAAAAGCCCTTAACTTACAAACATTTTAATATGCTTTTTATAAGACCAAAACACATATATGCAACACATATACCACTGCTCTAGATTTTTCCTTAAAATGGCTTTTTCTAGAATGTTGTTGAATTTGCATCAACTCTACCTCACCTTCTCATCAGATTCCCTTTTTAATCAAGCCATAGCATGCAGTTTGGCATATCTGGCCAGGGTTGAGAGTGTTGGTTATGGCCATGGAATAAGGCCAACCTAACTGGTTCATGAGGCGAGGGCATCTGTGACCACAGAAGGGAAAAACTGAAATACTTATGGTATACAGGAGGGAATTGAAAGACTTCAAGCACAGTTACTACTTCTGCTTTCAAACTTGATTTTTAATCCCCTTTACTTTGAACAAGAGGAAGAAAATGGTGCATGGGTTTGTACACTATTCTCCTCTACTTTTCTGAATAAAGGACATCTTTGTTCATTTAAAAACAAAAAACAGGCTAGGCGTGGTGCTCACACCTGTAATCCCAACACTTTGAGAGGCCGAGGTGGGTAGATCACCTGAAGTCAGGAGTTCTAGACCAGCCTGGCCAACATGGTGAAACCCTGTCTCTACTAAAAATACAAAAATTAGCCAGGTGTGGTGGTGCATGCCTATACTCCCAGCTACTCGGGAGGCTGAGGCAGGAGAATCGCTTGAACTCAGGAGGAGGCTGCAGTGAGCTGAGATGGTGCCATTGTACTCCAGCCTGGGCAACAAGAGCAAATCTCTGCCTCTAAATAAATAAATAAATAAATAGAGGCAAAATGAAAAAAACTTGTGTTTTAAAACATATAAAATCTGTGGCATATGGTATGAGAAAAATCAGATCCTTTTTTGAGAACTCTGATGTCTATAAGAAAACCATTTGTGACTCTAATTTCTCTTATTTCACTATTAGTCATATTTATATATTATACGGTTCGATATCTGTATATACTTATGTAATCTTTTTTCACTGCCTGTAATCTGTAATAAGTTTTTAAATTTTATATTTATATTTATCACACATTTAAATGTATTATTCTTATACACTTTAAGTATATATATTTTCTTTTTTCTTTTTTTTTTCACAGTAATGACTTTGCTTTTCCTTTTTTTTTTTTATTATTATACTTTAAGTTCTAGGGTACATGTGCATAACGTGCAGGTTTGTTACATAAGTACATATATTTTCTATACATAAAATTACAATGCTAATTTATCCAGAAACATAATGTATGATAACTTAACAGCATGATATATCCACTCTTTATCTCCACTTCCTTTTGTTTTTTTTTGGAGACTCTCGCTCTGTAGCACAGGCTGGAGTGCAGTGGTGCAATCTTGGCTCACTGCAACCTCTGCCTCCCGAGTCCTTGTTCAAACAATTCTCCTGCCTCAGCCTCCTGAGTAGCTGGGATTACAGGTATGTGCCACCATGCCTAGCTAATTTTTGTATTTTTAGTAGAGACGGGGTTTCACCATATTGGTCAGGCTGGTTTTGAACTCCTGACCTCAGGTGATCCACCCGCCTCGGCCTCCCAAAGTGCTGGGATTACAGCATAAGCCACTGTGCCTGGCCTATCTCCATTTCTTAAGAAGACCGATGTTGATTTCTTCGTCTCAGCAATGACATGTGACTTTGATATATGAAAGATATTTCCTACCTTCAGGATAATGGGGACACAGTGAGGGGAGGGCAGGCGGAAAGCCTTGATAATGGGAATATATTTCTAAAACACCTGAGTATTTAAATACATGTCAGACTAGAGAAACTATAAAAATGCTTTTTTTTTTAAAGACAGAGTCTCACTCTGTCACCCAGGCTGGAGTGCAGTGTGGTGATCTCAGCTCACTGCAACCTCTGCCTTCCAGGTTCAAGCAACTCTTCCGCCTCAGTCCCCTGAGTAGTGGGGACTACAGGTGCACACCACTATGCCCGGCTAATTTTTGTACTTTTAGTAGAGCCGAGGTTTCACCATGTTGGCCAGGCTGGTCTCAAACTCCTGACCTCGTGACCTCCCAAAGTACAGGCATGAACCACCGAGCCTGGCCCAGAAATTCTCAATAATGGCATTTGGGCTAATCTGGAATAAGCTGTTTCCAGCTTAAATGCTGCAGAATTCCATAGAAAGCAGGCTATGGGCAATATACATGTATAGAGTGAGAGAATACATATATAAAAGATATAAGCTTTGAAATGAAGTAGATTTCAGGTTATAGTTGTTCAAAATTCTGTTCTTCCTTTCCATAAAATGCGATGTTATTTCTTTCTTTGCCAAATATTTCCAAAATACACCAAATAGCACATCACTCATAAAATATTTCTAGTCCAGCTATTTCTCTAAGGTTAAGGGGCAGAATTAGAGGTGTTTTTCCTTAATATTTTAATTCACTAAAATAAAAGATGACAACTTCAGGATCTGTACTATTTTGAATTAATTGAAGGAATGACAAGACAGGATAATGTATGATACAACAAAAGACACATTAGTTCCTATTTTAGTTTCTGACTTGCATCCCACATTTCCTTTTGCTTCTAAACCACTGAGCTAATCTCACTACATATCTTTTTTTTTTTTTGAGACAGAGTCTTGTTCTGTCACCCAGGCTGGAGTGCAGTGGTGCTATTATCTTGGCTCACCACAACCTCCACTTCCCATGTTCAAGCAATTCTCCTGCCCCAGCCTCCCGAGTAGCTGGGATTACAGTTGCCCGCCACCATGTACAGCTAATTTTTGTATTTTTAGTAGAGACAGGGTTTCGCTGTGTTGGTCAGGATGGTCTCAAACTCCTAACCTAGTGATCCGCCCACCTCAGTCTCCCAAAGTGCTGGGATTACAAGCGTGAGACACCGCGCCCGGCCTCTCACTACATATCTTGAGTCACACAAACCTATATATATATATAGTGGGGTCTTTGCACCAGTAATATGAAAGATGGCTTTCTTCACACATAAGAATGTGACCAAAGGCCCCTTTATTGCACAATGAGTGGCCTAGTTATCCCTAAAATGTTTATACGTTCTTCAAAGGACTAAGTTACAAAGCATATCAAAAATTATTTGAGGACCAAGTAATCAGTGGGATTTTTTTGCATGCACATATTACAGATTGGTGTTTAAATTATGCAGCCATGCTTTGATCTTGCTGTGGGAATTCTCCCCTGAGACTATCTACTTACTGGCCTTTGCTGTTTATTGGACGTTGGATCTCTCACATAAATAGTTCTTTCAGTATTACGTACTGGTTGAGTCTTCAAATCTACTCCATCGTCATTCAAGCTGTCTTTCCCTTTTGATTTTATACATCCCATATTTCCTGTTGAAATATAAAAGCAACAACATTGTTTTACCATTCTAGAACTGCTTCAAGTCATCAAAATCTCTCCATTAAAGAGTAGAAAAAAATATACTTTTATTCTTTATCATATATAGATTAATAAACTCAAATGTGAATACTATTCCCAAATAGGTTTGCCTGTCCATTAATTCACTCAACAAATATTTATTGAGCATTAATTTTCCATCACCCAGACCAAATTCAGCTCTAACTCTGTTCGTATTCTTGTGGTAAAGATGTGTAAAGACTCGATGACAGAGGACCCACAGGATCTAAGAAAGGACATGTAATTCAGGCAAGAGGAAAAGGAGGTGGTCAGGGAAAGCTTCCTAAAGGAAATGCTCTGTGAGTTGAAATGGGAGGGATGGCAGCCAGGTTGCAAAGTCAGCAAAGAGATTCCAGGAAGAAGAAACCTCACATGCAACCACCATGAGCTCAAGATAACACGGC